ACAACCTGGACACGGGCGAGACGACGTGGGAGCGGCCCGAGGTCGAGGAGGAGGAGGAAGACGAGGAGGAAGAAGAAGAGGAGGACGACGACGACGAGGGCTGGGCCATGCGCGCGGCGCGGCACCACTACGAGGGCGGCGTCGCGCACGACGAGCCGACGCTGCACCCGGCCGACGAGCTCCGCGCGGCCGTCGAGCCCATCGCGTACGAGCCCGCGGAACGGGCCGAGGGCCGGGGGCTCTTCCCCGCGGCGTCGCCCTACGGCGACGCGACGCCCCGCCACGACGACGACGACGAGGCCGACGCGCCGCGCCGGTCGTCGGCGTCGAAGCTCTTCGGCGTCTCGGCCGTCGCCGAAGAGGAGGAGGAGCGCGAGGAGCGCCGGTCCTCGGCCTCGAAGCTCTTCGGCGTCTCCGAGGTCGCCGACGAGGAGGAGGAGCCCCAGGAGCGGCGCTCTTCCGCCTCGAAGCTCTTCGGCGCGTCCGCGGAAGAAGACGAACCCCAGGAGCGGCGCTCTTCCGCCTCGAAGCTCTTCGGCGCGTCCGCGGAAGAAGACGAACCCCAGGAGCGCCGGTCTTCCGCCTCGAAGCTCTTCGGCGCGTCCGCGGACGACACGGACGAGGACGAGGCCGCGGACTCGTTCGGCTCGATGCCCGCGTTCGCGCTGCCGCCGACGCCCGTCGCGCACCACCAGGAGCCGCCGTCGTTCCCGAGCGCGGGCTTCCAGTCGAAGAAGAAGCGCATCCGCGACAGCTGCTACCAGCTCTTCTCGGCGCACCGGCCCAAGGCGTCCCTGCTCAAGGCCATGGCGCCGCTCGTCGGCCTCTTCAAGATCGTCCGCCTCGTCGAGCGGGGCCCGGAGCAGGAGGCCGCGCCGCCGCCGAGCGGCCGCCGGCGCATGTCCGTCGCCCAGTTCGCCAAGGTCTCCGTGCCCATCGACGCCTGGCACTTCATCGCGCCCCTCGGCGCGGTGCTCCGGGGGCTACGCGTCGACGAGAGCGAGTTCGGCTGGCTGTTCTGCAGCCAGGGCGGCCTGGAGACGCTCCTGCGGGCCATCGTGGTCATGCCCCAGCTCCCGGCGCACCGGGGCACGAAGGGCCGGGGCCTGCCCGTGGTCATGGCCGAGGCGCTCGTGCTCAAGTGCGTCGCCGCGCTCCTCCGCGACGAGGACGCGATCCTCGGCCTCGTGTCCGAGTCGACGGAGGACCTCGAGGCGCTCTTCGCCGACGTGCTCGTCGCGCGCAAGTCCTGGGTCCGCGTCGGCATCGTCGTGCGCACGCTCATCGCTTTGTGCGTGGGCGACCGGCCGGCGGACGGCGGCGGCGGCGACGACGCGGAGGACTTCGAGGACGCGTCGCCGTCGCGCGTCGCCTGGTCCGTCGTCGACGCGCTCGCGCGCTACGCCGGGCCCGAGTCGTCGGCGGCGTCGCTCCACAACGGCGCCATCGTGCCCGTCGTCGTGCCCTACGGCGAGGCGGGCGCGAAGAACGACCCGCCGCTCTCGCTCGCCGTCGCGCCGCCGCGGTTCTACGACCTCGCCATGCTGCTCCTGCCCATGGTGCCCCTGGCCGTCGCCCGCGCCGCCGTGCGCCTCCTGCGCGCCCTGGCGTCGTCCCTCGAGGCGCGCCGGGGCCGGCGGCGCGCGCGCGCGGAGATGTCGTACGCGATGCGCGTCGTCGCGGACGCGCACGGCATCGCGCGCGACGAGGGCGACGACGCGCGGCGCACGGGCGCCAAGACCTGCTTCTCGTGCTGCGCGCTACTATCCGTGCTGCGGCGCCGCGCGCGGAACCTCGCGCCCGACGCGGCCGCGGCGCCCGACCAGGCGACGCCGCCGCAGTCGCCGCCGTCGACGCCGACGGCGCCGCGCCGCGACCTCGTCACGCACCTCGGCGGCGACGAGGCCTCGCCGTCGGACGCCGGCAGCGCGCGGTCCGTGCGCTTCGGCGCCGTCACCTACAGCGACCCGCCGCCACTCGAAGCGCCCGCGGCGCCCGGCGGCGCGTGGGCCGAGGGCGAGGTCCACGCGGGCGAGACCCGCGCGTCGTCGGCGCGCCTCGACGCCGACGAGGACAGCGACGACGACGACGACCCGGACGAGAGCGAGGCCCTGCGCCTGCTCCGGGCCGTCGACGGCCTCGAGGCGGACGAGCGCGCGGACGCGGCGCTCGACGGCGGCGACCGCGCGGGGACGGCGCTCGCCGCCGTCGCCGACGCCGTCGAGGCCGCCCGCGTCGAGGCGGCGACGGACGGCCCCATCGCCGCGGCGCTCGTCGACGCCGTCGCCGCGTCCGTGCTCCGCGCGGCCGCCGGCGGCGCGACCGGCGCCGCGCTCCGCGACGCGCCCGCGTACCGGAGCGGCATCGCGGCCCTGAACGGCTGCGTCGCGCGCCTCGCCGTGCTGCGGCGGTCTGCCAAGGACGGCGTCGACGACGACAGCGTCCAGTGGCAGATCGAGACGTCGCGCGGCGCGGACGAGTTCGAGGAGGCCGAGAAGCGGCTCGAGGAGGCCGAGCGGGCCTACGCGGACCTGAGCCACCGCTGCGACCGCGCGCGGCGGGCCCACCAGCTGTTGCGCACGCACGGCGCCGCGCGCTGGCTCGCCGCGGTCCTCGACGCCAGCGACGGCGCGGAGGCCGCCGCGCGCGGCGGCGGCGCCGGGCCGGCGGCCGCGCCGGGCCGGCGCGCGAGCCGGCGCATGTCGCGGCGCGCGAGCGTCGCCCCGACCAAGGCCGCCCAGCGGCGGTCGTCGACCATCGTCACGGGCATCGCCGCGGCGCTGCCCGCGGAGAACGGCGCCGGCGCGATCGACGCGGCGCGGGCGCGGCTCGAGGACGAGCTCGCGAAGCTCGACGGCGAGCTCGCCCGCGACGACGCGCCGGACCGCGACGCCCTGGAAGCGCTGCGCGCCGTCGCGGCGCCCGTGGTCGCGGCCTTCGCCGACGGCGGCTCCACGAACTTCCAGCGGCGCGGCGCGGTCTGCGGCGCGCGGCGCGAGCTCGTCGCGGCCGTGCGCGAGGCCAACGCCTCGGCGTCGCAGCTGAGCGCCGCGGCGAGCCGCGCCGAGGCCGCCGTGGGGCGGTGGCGCAAGCGCCGCGACACGGCGCCGGGCCGCATGGCCGCGGAGGCGGAGCGCGAGGCAGGGCAGGACAAGGGTGATTCAACGTCGCTTCAACGTGAGTGTTCCGCGCGCGCCCGTTCTGGAAAAAGCATCCATGCTTCGAGACCGTTCCGAGAGATGATCGCTCGTCCAAAAATCAGCCGAAACGAGTGGAAACCGGCCGAGAGAGGAGCCTTTGAAGTTGGGAATTTCGCACTCTTGTCCTGCCCAGGCGCGAGGCGCGGTGGGCCGAGGGCGCGCGCGACTTCCAGCGCGCGTGCCTCACGGCGCTGCGGCGCTACCTGCCCGTGGACATCGGCGACCGCACGGCGGCGGCCGTGCGCGAGGCCGCCCGGGCGCGCTACGACGCCCAGCGGTGCGACGCGGCGGAGCCGGCGCCGCTCTTCCCGCTCCGGCTCTGCGAGCGGCTCGTCATGCGCAAGCTGCTGCGCGTCGCCGTGACCCACGGCGACGACATCAACGGCGGCGACTGGCTCCGGAGCGCCCGGAGCGACGCGCCCCACCGCCTGGTGGAGGAGTACACCTACGGCGAGCTCTGCGCGGTCTACGCGGCCGTGTCGTCGGCCGCGCCGCCGTCCGCGGAGGCCGACGTCGCCGCGGCGTCGGGCCGCGGCGGCGCCGTGCGCCGCTGGCGCGCGGCCCTGAGCACGACCCTGCGCCACCTGGAGAAGGAGAAGGGCCACCAGGCCGCGGACGCGGACGGCCGCGGGTCCGACGCGGCGGCCGCCGCGCTCCTCTACAACCAGGTCTACTTCTACCCGACGCACGACGAGGTCGGCGCCATGCTCACGCGCGCCGAGAAGCCCGGCCGCGTGCTCGCGGCGAAGGCGCAGGCCTTCGAAGCCGCCGAGGCCGACGTCGACGCCGCGCGAGAGACGCGCGACGCGCACACGGCCGCGGCGCGGAAGCACCTCCGCGCGTCCAAGGCCCCGGACGCCGACGGCTCGCACGCCGCCGCCTACGAGGCCGCGCGCAAGGAGACGGCCGACGCGAGCGACCGCTACCGGAGCGCCTGCAAGGCGCGCGACGCCGCGAGGGCCGCGCGCGACGTCGCCGCGCGCGAGGCCGAGAAGCGCGACCCGGCGCCCGCGCTCGCCGAGTGCGCGGCGCTCGAGGCCTGCGGCCGCTGGGGCGAGCCCGTCGGCGCGCCCTTCGCCGCGGACCCGCCGCTGCTCACGGCCGCGGCGAAGCGCGCGGCCGCCGCGGCCGTGCTCGAGGCCAAGCGCGCGGCCGCGGGCGAGCCCCGGGCCGACGAGGCGCCGTCGCCGACGTCCAAGGCGCGCCAGTCCAAGGCGAACTTCGCCAAGAACCAGGCGGACCTGCTCAAGAACCTCAGCGGCCGGGGCCGCGCGTCGCGCGCCGCGTCCGAGCCGCCGCCCGTGGCCAAGAAGATGGACGTGAAGAAGCTCGCCGTCGCCCAGGACCTCGAGTCCATCTTCGGCGGCAAGGGCAGCATCGCCAAGCAGAAGCAGGCCCAGGACCGCGCGGACGCGAACGCGTGCCGGAGCGTCGGCAAGCTCGACCGCGAGTCGGCGATCTCCCAGGCGCTCGAGGGCATCTTCGGGGGCGCGAAGCCCGGGAGCGACGACAGCAAGCCCGTCGGCGAGGACCCGCGCTACAAGAAGTACTTCAAGATGGTCGCCATGCACCTGCCCCGCGCCGCCGTCGAGCAGAAGATGGTCGCCGAGGGCGTCGACCCCGCCGTCCTCGACCTCGACCCGACGAAGCCCCGGCCCGTGGAGCGCGGCTCCCGGCTCAAGCTCGAGGACATGGACGTCGTGAACAAGCTCGAGAGCCTCTTCGGCGGCAAGCCGCCGCCGCCCAGGGCCGCGGGCCCCGTCGGCGACGACCCGCGCTACAAAAAGTACTTCAAGATGCTCGCGATGCACCTGCCGCGCGGCGCCGTCGAGCAGAAGATGGCGAGCGAAGGTCTGGACCCGAAGATCCTCGACCTCGACCCGGCGAAGCCGCCGCCGGGCGACGACGCCAGGCCGCGCGGGACGAAGCTCAAGCTCGAGGACATGGACGTCGTCAACAAGCTCGAGAGCCTCTTCGGCGGCAAGCCGAAGCCGCGGTCCCGGTCCGAGCCGCCGCCGAAGGCGTCGCCGCCCGTCGGCAAGCTCGAAAAGGGCGCGATCCACGGCAAGCTCGAGGGGCTCTTCGGGGGCGCCAAGCCGAAGCCGCCGCCGCCGCCCGAGGGAGGCGCCGCGCCGGGCAAGCTCGACAAGAAGAAGTTCGCGAGCGTCACGGGCCTCTTCGACAAGCCGAAACCGCCGCCGCCGCAGCCGGGGAAGAAGGTCGGCAAGCTCGATAGGAACAAGTTTGCGAACGTGACGGCCGCGCTGGGGGGCGCGAAGCCGCCGCCGCCGCGGGACGAGCCTCCGCGGGTGTCGTCGGGCAAGCTCGACAAGAAGAAGTTCGCGAGCATCGGGGCGTTGTTCGGCGAGAAGCCCGCGGCGGCGGCGCCGGAGGCGCCGCGCGCGTCGGCGGGCAAGCTCGACAAGAAGAAGTTCGCGAGCATCGGGGCGCTGTTCGGCGAGAAGCCCGCGGCGGCGCCTCCGGAGGCGCCGCGCGCGTCGACGGGCAAGCTCGACAAAAAGCAATTCGCGAGCATCGGGGCGCTGTTCGGCGAGAAGCCCGCGGCGCCGGCGGCGCCGCGATCGTCGTCGGTCGGCAAGATCGACAAGCAAAAGTTCGGCAGCGTCGGCGCTCTGTTTGGCGCGAAACCGCCGAGCGACGAGCGCGCGTCGACGGGCAAGATCGACGCCGGCAAGGTCAGCGACTTCGGCGCGCTCTTTTCGGCGCGCGCGGCCGCGCCGGCCGCGCCCGCGCCCGCGCCGAAGCGGCCGCCGGGCTGGAAGCCGCCGCCGCCGCCGCCGACGCTCCGGCGCGCGAACTCGGAGGCGCCGCGGCGGAAGCCGCCGCCGCCGCCGCCGCGGTCCGCGAAACCGCCGTCGCCGGCGGAGAAGGCGAAGGCGGAGAAGGAGCGCGAGAAGCGCCACTACTCCAAGCTCTTCGCCCAGGGCCACGCGGACGAACCGCGGGAGCTCACGGCCGCGGAGAAGAGGTACGCGCGGCTCTTCGGAGGAGACTAAGAGCCGTTATTATTCGCGGTCTCGCCGCCGGGGATCTCGAAGTCCTCGAGGCGGAATTCGACTTCCTCGAAGTCCTCCAAGGCGCACGAGAAGGGCTCCGTGCGCGGCAGCGCCGGCGGCGGCAGCGCTGGCGCCGCCGCGGGCGGCGCGGGCGGCGGCGTCGTCTCCGCGCGCGGCGGCGGCGGCGGCGGCGACGGTTTCGCTCGTCGCCGCGCGGGCGCCGCCGCGGGCGGCTCCGCGGCCGCGCGCTTGCGCGACACCGGCGCCTTGGACGCCGCCGCGGCGGCGGCGATCCGCGCGAAGCCGGCGGACGACGACGACGACGCGCGCTTAAACGGAAAGCCCGCGGGATGGAGCGCGCTCAGGGTGATCTCGTCGCCCTGCTGGAAGGCGATTTCGCAGGCGAAAAAGACGCGGCCCTGCGGGAGCGCTGCGGAATTTTTTCCGTCCTCTTCTTGCACGCCCATTGGTCGTCGGCACTGCTCGCGGCGCGGAAGGCGCGCTCAAAAGCTCGAGGGCCAGACCGATCAGCGTCAACGAAGCGCTGCATCGGTCGACGGTGCCGTCGGTGCGGTGCCGTCGAGCGAAGCGCCTCTACTCACAACTCGGCCTCGGTGCCGAGCTCTTGCGCCGCCATCTGCGGGCGTCGCGCGCGTGATCAGCCACAAAACCCTCGCATCAGACCCCTGAAAACTCCCAAAACCAAACAACCCAAAAATGCTCGCGGCTCGCGCCGCAAGGCGCGCCATACGACCACACCAACCCGCACGACAGTTCTCCGGCGGCCGCAAGGCGCCGGCGTGGATGCGGGCGCAGCGGCAGCGGCGGCCGCCCGGGCGGAGCCCCGCGGCGGCCGCGGAGCCCGTGGAGGTCATCGAGCCGGCCGCGGCGGCGTCGCGGATCCGGCCCGCGGCGGAGGCGGCCGTCGCGCAGATCCAGAGCATGAACTGGACCGCGCTCCAGAGCTCCATGAGCTCGCAGCTCCTCCAGAACATCAAGCAGCGGAGCGAGCGCCAGTGGCGCATGATCGCCGCGGCGGCCGCCGTGCTCGCGTTCTGCGGCTACGTCTTCCGCCGCGACATCAAGCAGCGCGCGTCCGAGGAGGCCGCGGAGCTCGGCGCGCTGACGATGAGCCACGAGTCCGTGCGCGCCGAGGTCCAGTCCATCGGCAAGTTCCTCGCCCACGAGATCCTCCACGACCCGAGCGTGTCCGCGGCGGCGACGACGCTCGTCGCGGACGTCATCCGCCGCGAGTCGACGAAGCAGGCGTTTTTGGATCTCGTGCTGTGGACGCTCGAGCGCGACGCGACGCGGTCGCTCGTGCGGGACCAGCTCCGCGCCGTCGTCGGCGACCTCTGCCGGGACGACTTCACGCAGCTGCGCGTGTCCGAGCTGCTCGGCGCGGCGCTGGGCCGCGAGGCGACGCGCGACGCGGCGATCAACCTGGGCGCGGACCTACTCGTCGACGGCCGCACCGTTGACGCGTCCTCCGACCTGGCGCGGCGGTTGCTGGCGCGCGACGACGTGCGCCAGTCCCTCGAGGACGCCCTCGTCGACGCCTGCCACGGCGCGCTGTCCGACGCGGAGCTGCTCCGGCACGCGAAGACGGCGGCGTCGTCGACGCTCGCGAGCCGCGACGTGCAAAAGTCCGCGGGCGACGCCCTCTGGAACGCCTACAAGTACTCGCTGGGCCTCGGCCCGCGCCGCGCGAAGACCGCGCCGCCGGAGGACCCGCCGCCGCGGAACCCGGACCGCGAGCCGCGCGCGCCGCCGGAGCCGGCCGCGGCGCCCGCGCCCGCGGACGTCGACGCCTACGCCGCCGCGCACGCGGCCCTCGCCGCCGCGCCGGAGCCCAGTCCGCCCACCGTGGCGCTCGCGGCCTCGCCGGGCCCCGCGGCGCCCGCGGCCGCGGAGGCCGCCGCCAAGGCGGACGAGGACGCGTCGGAGCCGCCGGAGGCCGCCGCGGGCGGCGGCGCGGCGCCGCCGGAGCCGCCCGCGCCCGCGGCGCCCGCCGTGCCGACGAACTGGCGCGAGGCGGAGCTGCTCGCGCGGTCTAGCGGTTAGTTTCAAGGGAAGGTGGGGCGCGGTCTTCTAGGGAAGGTGGGGCGCGGTCTTCTAGCGGTTAGTTTCACGGAAAGGTCGGGCGCGCGAGCGGGCCGTCGGACGCGCTGAGGGGCCGCCAGCCCGACGTGGGCTGCTCCGCGTGGTGGAACGCGTCGCGGTGCTCCGCGAGCATGGCGCGCATCTGCGGGTTCGGGAGCGTCTGCGGATCGATGGGGTCGGAGATGGCGCACTTGCGCTCCGCGGACGAGCCCGAGAACGAGCTCAGGTTCTTGCCGTGCGTCGCGTGGATGAAGAGGCCGAAGTCGTCGTAGATGCGGTGCGTCGCGTTCGCGTGGACGACGCCGGCCTCCTCGCCGACGCCCGTGTCGACGAAGCTCAGGCAGTCCATGGTCGACCGGCGGAAGACGTAGAACTCGCCGCGCGCGTCGAGGTCCTCGTGCATGCGGAGCTCGTCCTTCGACACGTCGTAGCCGTGCGCCGCGGTCAGGACCGTCATCGTCGCGCCGGCGGCCGCCATGTGGCCGAGCACGGTGGACACGTACTGGGGCGCGTAGAGGTTGTCGTCGTCGAAGCAGACGACGAACTCGCCGCTGCAGTTCGCCAGGAGCGTGTTCCGCTTCGACCCCAAGCTCGGCTTCCCGACCTCGCCGTGCGCGTCCGTGCGGAAGTAGAGCACGCGCTCGTCCCTGAGATGCGCGAAGAAGCGGCTCTCGCGGTCCGTGTCCAGGACGAGCAGCTCCTTGTCGGCCCAGTCCTGCGCGACGAAGCACTTGTAGATCTGGTGGTGCAGGTGGTGCCGCGGGCCGAACGTCGGCACGATGATCGACACCCGTCCCGCCACGAAGCCCGGCGGCGGCGGCAACCGCGCCTCGCGCCCGAAGCCCTCGCCGCAGGCGCAGGCCAGCGACGTTCGACAGCCCCCGGAGACGCGCTCGCGGCGGTGGAGCTCGCGCTGGCGGTCCTTCGTCGCCGCGAAGCACGCCTCCACGGCCTTGTCCGGCTTGCGCTTCGCCGGCTTGCGCTTCGCCAGCGCCGCCGCCGAGCCGCCGTCCTCGCGGAAGCGCATGACCCGCAGATTCGGCCCGCCGGCGACGCCGCCAAGCGTCGGCCCCGCGTCCTCGGCGACGCCGTCGTGGAGCTCGTGGCTCGCCGAGTGGAACGTGTGCGGCGTCGGGCTCAGCGCCTTGGCCTTCATCCAGCCCACGGTGCGCCCGGCCTCCAGCGTGACCTCGACCCTGAGCCGCAGCTCGCCCGCGGCGTCGAAGCGCCGCGCGCCGGGCACGACGGCGACGAGCGCGCCGGGCGCGACGCCTCCGATCCGCGCGTCCGTGTCGCACCCCGCGAACACGGCGACGCTCGACGGCAGGCCCGACTCGTACCAGGGCTCGCCGTGCGCCTGCCAGATCGCGACGCCGCCCGCGCGCTCCTCGCCGGCCGCCCACGCGACGGCCGGGATCGCGAGCGCCGCCGCGCGCAGGTCCGCCGTCTTCGGCGCGCTCTTCTTCCGCGCCGCCGCGAAGGACCGGAACGACGACATCCGCCCCCCCAAAAAAGCCGCGCCGCCCGCGCAGCTCCCGCCGCCGCGCGCCCTAGGCGCGCAGCCGGCTCCCCGCCACGTACATGACGCGCACGGCGATGAAGTAGATGCCCAGCTGCATGAAGGTGCTCTTCACGGCCGCCCACTCCGCGTTCGACTTGGCCGCGCTCTTCTTCTTGATGACGAACATGGTGGTGCGCGCGGTGGCGGTCGGCTTTCGTCGATGGCGGTGGCAATGGACTTGGCGAAGCGCTCGGTGCTTTGATTGAGCCTTTGTTGAAGCGACATTGAACGGGCGCGCGCGCCGAATCGCACGAGGCCTGCCGCGCGCAAACCCGGCGTGACTCGTAGGCAGGCGGCCTCGGAACCGCTCGGCCGGCGCTGAGACAGCCTGGAGGCGCGCGGCCTTGCATGTCGCGCGCGCGCGTATTTCTTTTCGACAGCGGCATCTGGGTCCTGTCGGAGCATGCTCGGAGAACCGCAGATGGCAGTCGGTCGCCCAGACGCCGGACGGTACGTCTTCGCAGCCAATTTCGCGTCCACGTCGAAGTTGAATCTGGATGTTGCAGACGCTTAGGCTACGCTTGAAGCACGACACCACACAGAGCGATGTTGACCGCTTCTGCACCACGCGAGAGGCGCGCCCGCCCCCTTGCGCTCCTGGCGCTGCTCCTCGCGACAGCGCACGCGCTCCAACCCCCATCAACACGCCACCACACGCCCAAACAGAAGTTCGCGCCCGTCGACGCCGTCGTGGCCGAGCCCCTGGCGAAGGCGCCGGCGCGGCGCGCGTCGTTGAAGATCGCCGAGGACGACGCGGCGCCCATCGACCTCTTCTGCGCCGAGAGCGGGCGGCGCATCGCCTGCTTCCCCGGCGCCTTCGTGCGGCTCGCGGCGGACGACGCCGTCGTCGTCATCGCGACGCCGTGCGACACGCCCGTCGCGTTCGCGCCGTCCATCGACGACGACGACGAGGAGACGTGGGTCATCGTCCAGGACGACGACCCGCGCATGGACGCCGTCTTCAAGCGCGCGTCGGAGATCGTCGACGAGGAGCTCGACGACTGCCGCATGGTGCGGACGGCGCTCTTCCCGACGCTCCAGGGCGACCTGGACGACCAGTTCGAGGACGAGGACATGGACGACCTGAGCGCCTTGGACGACGAGGCGGACTTCGACGAGGAGGTCCTGTCGCTCATCGCGACCTTCGACGTCGAGGAGCTCGGCCACGCGTACGACATGATGAGGATCGAGCAGGTCTACCAGCTCCTCGCGAAGAAGCGCGGCGACGAGTGGACGATCCTCGACGAGGCCGAGGCCGACGCCATCCGGCCCCGCATCGCCGAGATCATCGACGACCACGACGGCGACCTCGCCGACGAGATCAAGGTCGATTCGTAGAGCCCGCCGCTTCCTTCGCCCGCTTCGCCCGCCCCCTGTTTACAACGTCCGACCCCTTCTAGACGCGGATCTTGAGCTGGTGGCAGAGGGCGCACTGGCTCCGCACGGGCTCGTTCTGCGCGTAGCAGAGCGAGCAGCGCCAGCCCGACGCCGCGGCGGGCGACGGCCGCGACCGGGCGCGGAGCTTGGGCGGCGCGGCGGGCGTCTCGAGCGCGCCGCGGAAGTCCGGCGGCGGCGGCGCGGCGACGGACGGGGCGCCGCCGCCGCGGTACTTGTCGCGCCACTGGCTCAGCTTCGCGGAGATGGACGGCGTGACGACGGCCGGCGAGTCGCCGCGCGTCGCCGCGCGGCCGAGCGCGCCCGTGAACGCGCCGGCCTGCTCCGCGGGCGTCGACGGCGAGATGCGCGCCGCGGGCGTGAACCGGGGCGACGCGTCGGACACGAAGGCCGGCGGCGTGACGCCGGGCGAGTCCGGCGGCGGCGGCGGCTGCCGCGGCGTGTACGCGGGCAGCGGCGCGGCCGCGAAGCGCGCGGCCTCGCGGAACGCCTCGGAGAAGCCCGCGCCGTCGGCCTCGCCCGCCGGCGCCGCGAGGCGCCGCGCGGGCGCCTCCGGCGCGGCGGCGTCGCTGTCCGCGCGCGGCCGCGGCGGCGCCGGCGCCGCGCGCGGCGGCGACGCGCGGACCGCGCGCGGCGGCGACGCGCGCACGGGCGAGTGCGACGGCACGGGCGACGCGCCGCCGCGCGGCGACCGCGAGAAGAGGTCGCGGCGCACGGGGCGGTCCCCGGGGCTCGCGCCGCGGTCCGGCGTGCCCGCGGCGCCGGGGCTGCCCGACCCGGCGGGCGGGCTGCCCTTGACGGGCGTCGCGCGCGCGCCGGGCGGCGACCGCGACTGCGGCGGCGACGTCGGCGACCAGCGCACCTTGCGCGGCGTCACGTTCTTCTCCTTGGGCGCCGGCGCCTTGATCTCCGACTTGGACGGCCTGCGGCGGCTTTCGGCGTCTCCGGGCGCCGACGCGGGGGACGCGGGGCCCGCGCGGCGACGGCGGCCGCGGCGGCGGCACGTAGGGGTGGTCGCCCTGCGTCTGCGCGCGGCTCCGCCCCGCCGAGGAGGGCACGGGCGACGCGGGCTGGCGCGACCGCGGCGGCACGGGCGACGCCGGCTGGCGCGACCGCGGCGTCGGCGCCCGGTCGACGGGGAGCGGCGACGCGGGCTGGCGCGACCGCCGCGCGCCGTCGAAGGGCACGGGCGAGACGGGCTGGCGCGACCGCGGCGTCGGCGCCTTGTCGTCGGCGGCGTGTCCGACGTTCTCGAGGCCGAAGCGCTCCTTCAGCGGCGTGCGCCTGCGGCGGGGGGGAGGTTTCGAAGACGGACGCGCCGGTCTTCAGCGACGCACCGGCGCTTCCGCGGCGTCGCGTCCTCGGCGGCCTCGGCGACCGTCGCCAGCGTTGGTTTGGGCGTTGATCCCTTGGGCGTCACGACGGGCTGCGCCGCCGACCGCCGCCAGCGGTGGAAGGCCTTGCTCCGCGCGAGGGCTGCCTCGACGATGACGCAGCGAGCGTCGAGCAGCGTGCTGAAGCCGCACAAGATCTCGTGCGTCTGGGCGTCCGTGAGCGTCACGTCCTGGTAGGAGGCCATCATCCCAGCGTTGGCTGCCCGAGTTCGAAACCAAAAAGCAACGACAGATTGTGGCTGGCCGGGGTCGCGCGGTTCGCGGCGGCGGTCGGTCGTCGTTGTCGATGGCGCTGCGACTGTTCCTTGGACCCATGCGCGACATAAGCCGGGTGCCCGGGCAGCGGTCTATGCGTCGTCTGAGATCGTCTCCGACGCGTGAGGGCTGTGGCAGTTTAGAAGTTCACTCGCACCCCTGGATCGCTGCCACAGCCGCGCCGTGAGGAGCTGCGCCAGCCAGGGCTCGAGCTCCACACTCGAGGCGGCGCCCGTGCGCGAGCAGGCGCCGGACACGAGAACAGGCACGCTGGCTCATCTCCCGCCCAAGCGCAAACGCGGCGGCCGGACACAAGGACTCATGCAGGGCTCCGCGCCGGCGCCCATCGACACGACGCCGCAGTCGGCGCGGCTGCGCAAGCTGCGCGCGACCGTGGAGAACGCGCTGCGGAACGAGATGGCGACGACGGCCGTCTGGTACGCGGACAAGCTCGTGACGCTGTCGCGCGGCAACGTCGAGGACGTGCTGCTCCTCGCGCGGAGCTTCTACGCGAGCGGCGACCACGCGCGGGCCGCGCGCGCGCTCGAGACGCGCAAGGCCTACGGGTCCGCGCGGCAGCCGGCGGCGCAGTTCGAGCGGGGCGTGACGGCGGCGTCCGCGGCGCCGGAGCTGCGCGCGCGGCTCCTCGCCGCGCGGTGCCTGGCCAAGTGCGGCCGCCACGCGGACTGCGTCGCGACGCTCGAGCCCGCGCTGAGCGCCGTCGAGGCCTTCGACTCCGGCGAGCTCGCCGGCCCGCCGGCGCCGCCGGCGGAGGGCGCCGGCGACGTCGACGACGACGACGGCGGCATCGACCTCGCCGCGGCCGCGTGCACGGTCGCGGGCGTCGCGTACGAGGCGCTCGAAAACCGGAGCCGCGCCGTGGCCTGGCTCGTGCGCGCGCTGCGCCTCGACGCGACCTGCAGCGAGGCGCTGACCTTCCTCGTCGAGCGGCGCCTGCTGAGCGCCGTCGAGGAGAAGCGGCTGCTGGGCGAGCTCCGCGCGGCTCTAACCGGCGACGACGACGCGTGGATCGCCGCGGTCTACGGCGCGCGGCTCTGCGTCCACGACGCGGAGCAGAGCGTCGAGGAGCGCTTCGGGGGCCTGGAGCGCGTCCACGGCCTCGGGGAGAACGCGGAGGTGCTCTGCGCGCGCGCGGAGCACTCGTACTACCAGCACGACTGCCGCGGCGCGCACGCGCTCGCGAGGCGCGTCTACGGCGCGGACCCCTACGACTTCGCCTGCGTGCCCGTCTACCTGGCGTCCATGGTCGAATTGGGGTTGAAGCACGAGCTCTTCTACTGCGCCCACGAGCTCGTGCGGGCCTACCCGAAGCACGCGGCGTCGTGGTTCGCCGTCGGCTGCTACTACCTCCTCGTGGGCAAGAACGACGCGGCCCAGCGCTACTTCCACAAGTCGGCGAAGCTGGCGCCGCGCTTCGCGCCGGCCTGGATCGGCTTCGGCAACGCCTTCGCGGCCCAGGACGAGAGCGAGCAGGCCATGGCCGCGTACCGGTCCGCGAGCCGGCTCTTCCAGGGGTCGCACGTGCCCCTCATGTTCATCGGCATGGAGTACCTGCGCACGAACAACCTGCCGCTGGCGAAGCACTTCCTGCGCGGCGCGCGCAAGCTCTGCGGCAGCGATCCCATGGTCCTCAACGAGCTCGGCGTCGTCGAGCTCCGCCAGGGCCTCTACGCGGACGCGGAGCAGACGTTCAGCGACGTGCTCGTGCTCTTCGAGCGCCTCCCGGACCGGTCGCCGCTGAAGTCGGCCTGCGAGAGCTCGGTCTTCAACTTGGCCCAGACCTACCGGAAGATGAAGCGCTTCGACGACGCCGCGCGCTACTTCGAGCTCGCGCTCGCGCTCAAGCCGGGAGACGCGGCGATCCGCGGCGCGCTCGGCGTCACGCTCCACGCGCTCGGCGGCGCCCACGTCCACAAGGCCGTCGAGTGCTACCACACGGCCCTCGCCATGCGGCCCGACGACACCTTCTGCTCCGAGATGCTCTCGCGCGCGCTCCGCGACGTCGCGGAGATGGGCGAGCTCTTCCCCGAGGACCCGGGCAAGGAGAAGGCCCACGTCGCCGAGCGGGCCCTCTTCTACTCCGCGCTCAAGCTCGACGACGCCGACGACGACGGCGCCATGGAGGAGGAGAAGGACAACTGATTCGGGGCTTAGTAATCGATAGCGCGCACGACGTCTAGTACCCGCCGGCGGCTTCCAGAAGTCGAGGATGATCGCCGCGACGCCGGGCGGCGCGCCGCGGCCGAACTTGTTCTTGAGGAACCTCGTGATGGCGCTACGGGGCGCCGTGAGCACGCGGCGGTAAATTTGCACGAAAGCTTCGTAGCCGCCCGCGTCGACGAGTTTGCGCGCGTAGCGCCAGGTCGGCGCGTTGCAGCCGAAGTCTTTGTGGTCACGGAGAGCGTCGAGGTCGATGGTGGCGCCCGCGCGGAGCAGCATTCCAAGGATGTGGCGACGCTCGATGTATTCACCGAGGCGAGGCGAGTCAGGCGCCACGTCCGGATCCAGGGCCAGCGTGAACGCCGAATTGCCTTCCTTCCTCCCAAATCCGAAATACTCATGTTCCGGAAGCGTTGTTAAGAGGTTCACGTTGGCTCCGGCACGGATAAGGCACTCCACATCCAGTTTGGCGCCAGATTCTGCCGCATGATGAAGAGCTGACAGGCCATCATCGCTCTTTCGGTCGATGCGTGCCCCGCACTTCAACAGATGTCCTATGCACTCCGCAGAACCACGGCCGCGAGCACCGGCAGCGAGACAGAGGGGTGGGTACCAGTCCTCACCGAACGCCCGAATCCCCTCCCCCATGTAGTTCGCGTCGGCACCCGCCTCCAGCAAAAGACGAACGCATTCCGCGTGTCCGTTTCCACTCGCATACTGCAGAGCTGTCCAGCCGCACTCATTCTCGAAATCAGCGGAAGCACCCACTGCGAGGAGCGCCTTCACCATGGGTACGTCCCCAGTCTCGGCGGCCACGTGAAGCAGCGACTTCGAGAGTTGGTCGTCATTGGGCCAGTCACCGTCTTCATCTTCGTTTTCGTCAAGGCTGCGAATGCTGCTAAGTTCAGACTGAAAACGCTCGATGATTCTCCGCACGGCGCCGCTGCTGATCAAGGTGTCCTCGCTCGTAGATTCCATTCCGCGCGCGCAGCAGCTAGGGACTGAGCGGCAGCGAGGCAGCCCGTCGGCGCGTCAACAAAGCGTCAATCTGCCAAAGTTGCCTTCAATCCTCGGGCGAGGTCGCCTGTGGCGGATCCTCCTGCTGCACGCGAAGGGAAGGCGCCCGCCGCGCAACGATGCTCGCCGCGCGGAGAACGCACGCATTGCTGCGCTGCGCGCGCCATCTCTCCGCCGCGCCGAGACCGAATCCGGACGCGACGGCCGCGTTCCGGCGGCTCATGCGCGCCCGCGCGGCCCTGTTCCGCGACGACGCCTACGCGCTGCGCGAGTCGCGCCTGAAGCTGCGCGAGGAGTTCGGCGCCCAGGCGGACGTGTCGGACGCGGCCCAGGTCGCCGAGCTCCTGCGCGGCGCCGACGAGGTCGAGGAGCTGCTCCGCGAGAACGTCGTCCAGGGCCGGCTCAACGAGCGCGACAACTACGCGTTCAAGGTCAAGGGCGCGAACGAGGACGACGTGCCCGACCACGTCGCGGAGCCCGTCTCGGAGCTCGAGATCGGCCTCGCCGCGGCTGAGCAGGGCAAGGCGCGGTAGGGCCGCGTAACTCGTTTCGCGACGGTCGACGGGGCGCGGGGGCAGCCATGCTGCCACGCGACCTGAACGCGAGGTCGTCCGGAGCGAATGTCGAGGGCAGGACGCCGTAGGTCGACAGTCCGAGGGGCGCGGCGCGAAGCGCGCCGCGGCATCGCGAAAGACGCGAGATACTTAGGCGTCCGGGGGGTAGGCGCGGTCGACTAGTCCTTGGACTTCTTCTTCTTCTTCTTCTCCTTCTTCTCCTCGCCGCCCTCGCTCTTCTCCTTCTTCTTCTTCTTCTTGGGCTTCTCGAGGAGCGCGACGCCGTCGTCCTCGTCCGCGTCGCTCTTGCTCCGCTTCTTCTTCTTCTTCTTCTCGACGGCGGGCTCCTCGTCCATGGCGTCGCCGGCCTCGGCCTTGAGCTCCTTGGCGATGGCCGTCATGACGTCCAGGTTGCGGCGGGGCGTCGCGCCGGTGTCGAAGAACGCGAGGCGCTCCTCGACCTGCGCGCGCATCTGCTCGCCGTACTTCGTCGTCAGCTCGTCGGCGAAGGCGTCGATGCGGCTCGCGATGGCGCACTTGTTCGCGAGGTAGCGGCTGATGCGGCCCTTGTTCTTCTTCGCCGCGCGGCCGATGAACGTCGAGTGGTAGATGAGGCCGTACTTGGGCGTGTTGCCCTTCTTCTTGAGGGCGCGGAAGAGGGCCTTCTCCGCGCCGAGGATCTGCACCGTCGACGCCGGGCACTTGGCGAGGCTCGAGAGGCTGCCGGCCTTGGAGATGAGGCGCGCGCCGACGGACTCGCCGACGAGCGTCGACAGGTTCGGCGCGACCGCGGCCATCTTCTCGCCGAGGTAGAGGCCGAGCTGGGCGCGGTAGGTCGCCAGCGCGACCATGCGGGCCGTGAAGTGCATGATGTTGGCCATGTCGCCCGCGGAGCACTCCATGCCCATGGAGATCTTCGCCGCCCCGACGACGGACGCCGCGAGCGCCGCGCCGTCGTCGCCGTCGTCGTCGCGGCTCGCCACGGCCGCCGCGAGCTCGTCGACCTTCGCCGAGGACTCCTCGCAGGCCGCGAGGAACGACGCGCGGTCGCCGACGCACGCCGCCGCGCGCGCGAACGCGTAGTTCTCGCGCACCAGATCCCGGAGCTCGGGGAAGTGCCAGGAGTACCACTCGCGCACGCGCATGGAGAAGGTGTTGATGTCCTTGTCGAGCGTGTCCAGCAGGCCGATGGACTGGATGATCATGTTGTCCGCGCGCGCGGGGTTGAACTTGACCTTGCACCGCGAGAACGCGTGGCCGAGGCCGAGCTGCGACTGCTCGAGCGTGCCGCCGCCGAGCTCGGGCACGAAGGACGCCATGTGCTGCTTCGCGCCGCGGATGAGCTCGCGCACGACGTCGTCGCTCCGGCACTCGCAGCCCGTCGCCTCGGCGATCGCCTTGCCGAGGTCCGGCTCGACGACGCCGAGCTTGAAGGACGCCTTCTTCTTCTTCTTCGCGCTGATCGCGGGCAGGTACTGCTCGAGGAAGTCGCGCAGCCGGTCGGGCACGCTGTGCTCCGCGACGGCGTTGATGTTCTCGAGCGCCATCTCCGCCGACGAGAACGCCTGGAACGCCTTGAGCTTGACTATCCGCGAGAACGCGGACGGGTCGGCCATGGCCTTCTGCAGCTCCGGCGACAGCGACGCGACCTAGGATGTGGGAGCTCGGGGGGAGGGCGCCCCCGGGCGCGCGCGCGGGCCGCGGCGGCGCGCGGGGCAGGAATAAGAAAGGGAGGCGCACCTCGTCGAGCTCGACGACATCGAAGAGCGCGTAGCCCGAGGCCGTCTCGTGGAGCACGTAGAGCGTCTCGCCCTTGGACATCTTTCAAAGCACCGCGGCGCCCCGGGTCTCGGACGCGCCGCTGCAGATTGCTGATCGAGACGCTCTCCACCTCGCAATCCCCGCTCGCCCAGAAGAGAGAGAGAGAGAGAGACCTCAACCACGACCTTGCCCTTTTGCTTGCCGATACAAACTCACGCAACGCAGTTAGACGCTTTGGGGCTGCCGACTACCGCGTGCGGCCGCCACGCTCGCCGTGCTCCGCCGCCGCCCTCGCCCGCGCGCGTGAGAAGAGCCGGACCACCGTCAGCATGGCGGCGGCCCAGGCCATCGATTTCAAGGACCTGCCCGATGCGGAGTACAGGAAGATCATCGGTGCGTGCGCCGCTCGCCGCCCCGCGCGGCCGCGCGCGCGCCGCGGCCGGGGCGTCCATGGTCGCGGCGTCCAACGCGTCTCGCGCGCCGCGCAGCGAAACCCATCGTGCACGCCTGCGACATGGTCCCGTCGGAGATGTCCAACGAGGCGACGGAGATCATCACCATGGCCGTCGACAAGTACGTCACGAACGGTGCGACCCGCGACGCCCTGACGGCGCGGCCGCGTCTCTTGGGGTGTGCTTTGCGTGCCGGTGCGTTGAGTTCTGATTCGTAGGAAACTACGAGGCCATGTCGAAGATGATCAAGGAGGCGATGGACAAGAAGTACGGCCCCCAGTGGCACTGCGCCATCGGCGAGGGCTTCGGCTTCGACATCACCTACCAGCAGCCAAACATGATCTACGTCTACTACGGCAAGATCGGCATCCTCCTGTACAAGTGCTAGGCGCGCGCGCGCGCGCGGGCGGTAACGCGCGTCGTCTTTCTCGGACTCCGGGAGAGGTGTGTGTGTGCTGTTCTACGAGGGCGGCGAGGGTGCGCGCACGCGTCCTCGCGAGTCGGCGCCTGTGCACATCTGGAGCTCCTCCGGACGCAGGCCGACGCCGAAGCCGGCTTCCAAGCCGAGGCGACGACGCTGCCACAGTCCTCGGTTGTGTCACGAGGCTTTGCCGCGGCGCAGCGCGTCCGCGGCCGGCGCCGCTCGCCTAGCACCCCCTTTGCGTCCCGCTCTCGCGTCGCAGCCGCATTCGTCGGAGTTCTCGCGCGCGCGTCGGGCGCCGCCGGAGCGGCGGGCTGCGTCCATGGCGGCCCTCGAGCCGCTCCCGCCGCTCCAGTTCCGGAGCATGCGCGTCGAGGACCTGGAGCCCATCAAGGCGCTGCACGAGGAGTGGTTCCCCGTGCGCTACAGCGCGGCGTTCTACGACGCCGCGGTCCGCGAGCGCATGGTCGGCACGCGCGAGCCGCTGCACACGATCGTCGCCGAGGACGCGCGGACCCTCGAGATCGTGGGCCTCGTCACGGCGCAGCTCACGGACGCGGCGACCTGCGGCGACGAGCTCTTCGAGCCCGCGCGCGACTTCCGGGCCGAGGAGTGCTCGCGGGTCATGTACGTGCTCACGCTCGGGAGCGCGACGCGGTACCGGCGGCGGGGCATCGCCAAGGAGCTCCTGCGGCGCTGCGTGCTGCGCGCCGAGGCGGAGGCGGGCTGCGGCGCGGTCTACCTCCACGTCATCACCTACAACGACGCCGCGATCGAGTTCTACGAGCGCAACGACTTCTCGCGGCTGCGGGAGATCGCGGACTACTACCGCATCGACGGCGCCTCCCACGCCTGCTACGTCTACGCGCTCTTCCTGAGCCGCGCGCGCGCCGGCGACGTCCGCCTCGACGACGACGACGGCCGCGGCGACGTCGCCTCCTACCTCGCGAGCGCGCTCGCGCGCGCCGCGCTCCTCGTGCCCGCGGCCTGGCGCACCTGCATCCGCCCGCGGCGAGGGGGCGGCGCGGGGCGAGCGTAGCGCAGTTTTGATGGTTTCTCTTTTGGGGGGTTTGGTGGGGTGCAGGAGGAGTGCGTCGTTTGGCGCGGCGACCCCCGGCGAGGTTCGGCCAGCGGCTGAAGTCGTGCCTCGATCTTGTCCTTGCTCGCCTGTAATGTGGACCGCGTCCCCGTGATTTCCACGCCGCGCGCGCGACACCCGGGGCGGGGTTCGACCGGAAGGCAGCACGGGAACGTGCGATGCGGGTCTCGCTTTGTGGCGTGGCTTTTTGGCGCTCCCGCGCGCTGCCGTCGCTGAGAGAGAGCTCCTCTGGACTGCTTCCACGCGCGACGCCGTGCCAAAGACGACCGCCTCGTCCCATAGGTTTTAAAAATGTCTCGCGCTATCCTCCTGTCGCTCCTCCTCGCCCCCGCCGCGGGCTTCGGCTTCGGCGGCGCGAAGAAGGCCGGCTCCAAGCCGGCCGGCTCTTTCGACGCGTCCCAGGCGCTCGGCGCGCAGGCGCCCGCGGGCTACTGGGACCCCATCGGCATCGCCGACGGCATCTCCGAGGAGCAGTTCAACCGGTACCGCGAGGTCGAGCAGAAGCACGGCCGCATCGCGATGATCGCCGTCGTCGGCTACTGCGTGCCCGGCTACATCGGCACGTTCGGCGACGTCAAGCTCGGCGGCGACGTCAAGTTCTCCGACGTGCCCAACGGCGTCCAGGCCCTCTTCAAGATCCCCCCGCTCGGCCTCCTCCAGATCCTCCTCCTCATCGGCATCCTCGAGACGCAGTTCCCGAACGTCCAGGGCGACTACGGCACGGGCTACTTCGGCCAGTCCCTCGAGGAGCCCGTCAAGAGCAAGAAGCTCGCCATCGAGCTCTCCAACGGCCGCCTCGCCATGCTCGCCATCATGGGCCTCCTCGCCCAGGACGTCGTCTCCCAGGGCGCGCCCTTCGACGGCCCCCAGTTCGAGACCGGCACGTTCACCTCGCTCTAGGCGCGCCGCCCCCCCCCCGCGCCGCGGACGCACGCGGCGTCCCCCCCGGCCTCCGCGAGACTAAAGGGAGTCCAAAATAGCCGCCTAGAACGCGCCGTCCGCGTTCGGGTCCTCCGCCGCGGCCCGCGCCGCCTCCTCGCGCGCGTCGGCCTCGGCCCACGCCTGCTGCTCGCGCTTCTGCCGTCGCGACTCCTCGTCCGTGATGATCATCTCCGCGAACTGGAAGAGCTCGTTCTCCGTCGCGAGCTCGACGCCCTCCTTGAGCGCGGCGAGCCACTCCTGCTGGTCGCGCTTGGACGCGGCGCGGAAGTAGAAGGCCTGGCTCGCCGTGGAGATCTCGAAGCCGTGGGGCATCTCGCGCCGGTTCGGCACCTCCTTGACGACGTTCGACGCGAGCGCGATCGACGCGGCGCGCGACCGCTCGTGCGCGGCGGCGTCGTGCGCGAGGCCCCAGGCGACCTCCGGCGCGAGGTCCGCCAGGTCGCCGCGCTCGCCGTCGTCGCCCGAGTCGTCGGCGGCGGCCGGAGGCCGGAAGCCGGGCCCCAGGTGCGACGGCTCGCGCCAGTACCAGACCTTGTCGTTGCAGAGCACGACCGTGCGCCGCCGCCAGAGGTTCGGGTCGCGCTCCGAGCGCTTCAGGAGGCTCCCCCGCTTCGCGGCGCGCTGGAAGAGCCACGCGCGGTCGACGACGTCCTTCGCCAGCGGCGGCCGCTCGTCGTCGCTCGTGTCCGAGCCCGACGCGTCGTCGCCCGGCGGCAGCTCGAGGTCCAGCGGGCTCGCCGCCGTGTCGTGGAGGTAGAAGCGCGCCTCGTCGTGGGCCTCGCGCGGCGCCGCGTACTCGGGCGCGACGCGCGGCTCGCGCCGCCGCTGCGCGGCCGCGCTCGCGAGCGCGCGCCGCCGCACGGGCAGGAGCGGCTCGTCGCCGCGGAGCGTCCGCACGCGCCAGATGACCTTCTCCGCCATGGCGCCGCGGCCCGCGGTCGACGCGCTCCGCGCGCCGCGCGCGCCGCCGTCGTCGCCGCCGCCCGCGGTCGCGGGCCGCCGCCGCACGGGGTAGACGGCGACGAGCTGCCGGCTCCGCCGCTCCGCCGCGTCGAGCCGCAGCTTCGACGCCACGAGGTTCACCGTCTCGGAGGCCGTCGTGCCCTCGCGCACGCGGATGCCGGCGTACTCCACGGCGAAGCCCAGGGTCCGCACGCGCACGAACGCGCCGTCGGCGCTGGCCGGCGGCCGGAGCGGCTGCATGGCGCGGCCGCCCTGAATTTTGGTGCTCTGTGCGACGGGCGTCTACTCGCCCGAGCTCTTCGAGCGCCGCGCGGGCTCGCGTTGCGCCGGAAGGTGGTCGCGCGCTCACACCGCGTCGCCGCGTCGCGGCATTGGCCACAGTCGTCTATCCCTCAAGCGAGTGCTCAACTTTGCATGTTTACCCCATCATACGCGTCCGGAGACGTCCCAAAACGCGCGGGATCGCGTAGAGATTGACTGCGTTCGTCGAGTTGGCGTTCCGCAGAGACTGCGCTGGATTCCTACATCGAAGCCGACCTGCTTCGAGGCTGGATCATCTCGAAACAGGCTGCACCCCGTTGGTTTTTTGCGCTTTTCACGCCGTATGACGCGGCTGCAAACGTCCAGAGCACCGGCGCTAGCGACCTTTCGAGGTCGCAGACCGACGAACGAGAAAGTCTCTTTGCGCACTTGCATTTGTCAATCGTCGATCTTGAACAAGAAAAAGAGAGGACAGAGGACCCGATGTGACCAAACAACTCGAGCTAGCGATGCGTCGCGTCTCGAGCAAAGGCAAGGGCCTGCCGACGCACTCGCAAAAGGTCCGCGCGTCGCGCGCGTCGCGCAGCACGTCGACGAAGCTCCTCGTCGCGTGCTGGTGCCTCGCTTTGCTCGTCCTCGTCGGCGTGTCCTTCATGAGCCCGCTCTACAACAAGGAGACCCGCGTGAAATCGCCGCCGGCCGCGCTGCGCCAGTCCGTCGGCCGCCCCCTAAACGCGTTCGACGGCTGCGCGTGGCGACGGCCCGGCGCCGTGCTCGTGCTGCGCGTGCCCAAGGCCGCGAGCACGGCGCTGACGAACGCCATGCGCGAATTCCGCGGCCGCTACAAGTTCGTCGACGTCGCCGAGTGGCCCGGCGCCGTCGGCCTGACGGCCGCGCCGCGGCCGCCGAGCGCGCTCGCGCCGGCCGTGGAGGCGAGGATGCAGGAGAGCAAGATCCACCGGTTCGCGACGGGCGCGGCGGCGCGCGACGGCGACATCGTGCTCGCGGGCCACACGTTCCTGCCCGTGCCGGCGACGGGCGCGCCGACGTACGCCGTCGTCGCGATCGTCCGCGAGCCGGAGCAGCGCCTCGCGTCCGGCTACCACTACGTGCGGTCCAAGGAGGTGCTGCCGCCCGGCGTGTCGGCCGCGGATCCGCGGACCGTCGGCGCCTGCGCCGTCAACGCGACGTGCGCGCGGATCAACGAGCTCGCGCGCCTCGCGAGCGCGGCTTCCGCGTCGACGCATCGGAATTGGTGCACGAGCGATTCACACGTTAGGTATCCAGACGCGCTACCTGTGCGGCTACTCGACGACCCTCTGCGAGGGGCCCGGCGCCGTCTACCGGGCCATCGCGAACGTCAACGAGACCGTGCTCCTCACGATCCCCGCGGAGCGCATCGACGACGGCGGCTACCGCGCGCTCGCGCGGCTCCTGCCGGGCTACTTCTCCGGCATCGAACGGGCGGCGGCGGCCGTCGAGGCGAGGTACGGCGGCGTCTACGACTCTCGCGGCGCGCGCCGGTCGCCCCGAGACCCGGAGGTGCCGTGGGTCGTCGCCGACTCCGCCGACGAGATCGACGCGCTCGCGGAGCTCTGCGGCGACGACCAGCGCGTCTACGACTTCGCGGCCCGCCTCTTCGACGGGCGGCTGCGGGCCTGCGACGCGCGCTACGCTCGTTAAGGGTCCAGGATGATGCCGTCGAAGCCGACGACGTGCCCGAGGTCCTCGGGGCTCGCGTGCCGGACGCGGTACTCGAGCTCCGCGAGGAAGTCGGCCTCGCGCGCGTCGTGCTCGCCGGCCTCGAGCTCGTTCAGCGTCGCGTCGAACCAGTTCCGCGACCGCACGTAGGCGTCGAAGTCGCAGTCCGGCCCGCAGTCGCGGAGGAACCGCGGCGCGTTCCGCCGGCCGGTCGTGCCCTCGAGCGCGACCCGCAGGTCCGCGACGTCGAGCACGCCGTCGTCGTCGACGTCGAGCAGCTGAAAATCGTGGAGGAGGCTTTTCAGATCCGAATCGTCGAGCAGGTGGCGTATTCGCTGGGCAAATGGAAGGCGCGGCCATCTCTCGAGCAGCCGCAGCGGGTTCTCCTCGGCCAGCGCCGAGGCTGCCAACAGCGCGGCGGCGGTGATGCTGCACCGCATCGGGCTGCCTCGAGGACCGCCGCTGGGGCCCATGCCTCAAATGAGCTTCAGGCACCTGTGATCCTGAACCGCATCGGGCTGCTCGGGCCCATGCCTCGCTTCAACACCTCTGCTCTGTGCCGGCACTTCGGACCCCGATCGAGCGGCGGCATGGCCTCGAGCTAGACCCAAAGCACCGCCCTCTGCGACGCCAACTGCTTCCCAACGCGTACAGCGACCGCCAGCGGTCAGCCCAAGATGGCCTCGACGCCCCTCTTCGCTTTTGAAATCAGCGCGCAGCACATCCGTACGTTCAGCGCCGCCGTCACCGCCCTCAGCGCCGTCGGCAAGGAGATCTGCCTCGGCGTGTCCCGCGCCCGCTCCGGCGACCAGGCGTACCTGACGCTGTCCGCGTACGACGACGCGGCGACGTCCTTCGGGTCCTTCCGCTTCGAGGAGCGCTTCTTCACGCGGGCGCAGACGCGGCGCTCGGGCTACGGCGCCGGCGACTTCGCGTGCAAGATCCTCGCGCGGACGCTCTTCCCCGCGCTGAAGCGGGCGACGGCGCGCTGCCACGCCGGCGGGAACACGGGCACGCGCCGCCGCGTCCGACGCGTCCCGCGCGGTCGCGCGCGCGCGCGTCGCTCGAGCGCCCGGAACCGTCGCTCGCAGGCGGCAAGGCGCGGGCCGGGTCCGGCGTGCTGAAGCTCGTCATCCGCCACGACGAGCCGCGCGACGACGACGACGACGGCGGCGACGGCGACGACGACGAGGACGCGGAGGCGATCACGCGCGCGTTTCCGCGGCTCACGCTCGAGCTCTTCCACGACGACGGCTCGCGGCGCCGCTGGCGCCTCTTCTACGAGGGCGCCGAGGCGCAGACCGTGGCCTTCGACACGGAGGCCGCCGAGGTCGGCGAGATCGTCGCGCAGCCCCCGCAGTGGCGCCGCGGCGCCCCCGTTCCCCCCGCGCTTCCGCTTCCGCCGCGGCCGCGACCCGCGCCCCTTCCCCCGCAGGTTGTCGTCGATCCTCGGCCACGCCGAGGGCCGCGAGATGTCCTTCGCCGTCGCCGTCGGCGAGCTGCGCGTCTCGAGCACGGCCGACGACGCCGAGGCGAACGACGGCGAGCTCGCGACGGAGCTCAAGATCTCGAGCACGGACTTCGAGAGCTACCTGCTCCCGGAGGACCGCGGCGGGGGCGACGACGCGGCGAGCATCGCGTTCCAGATCAAGCAGGCCAAGGCCATGGTCCGGTTCTGCGACTCCGCGGACGTCGGCGAGATCAAGTTCTACTTCTCCGCGCCGGGCCGGCCCGTCGCGCTCCTCGCGCGCGCGGCCAACGGCTGCGACTGCCGCTTCATCATCTCCTCGACGCGCGTCCGGCGCGCCGCGTCGCCGCCCCCGAACGCCTCCCGCGCGCCGTCCAACGCCTCCACGAACCGCTCCCTGCCCGAGGCCGTCCACGGCAAGCGCAAGCACCCCTGCGAGCGGCCCCCGGCGACGCTCTCCCAGACCCAGGACGGGCCCCAGGCGTCCCGCCCGCGGCGCGACAGCTCCGACGCCTTCTAAGATGATCGGGAAGTCTACCCTGAATGCAATGACAGCTGCATCTTCCATGCAATGGCAAACGTCTTCGTGGCAGCCCCAAAAGCTCTCAGACGGCGCGCAACCGAGCATTCGAACCCCGCGCGTCGTCGCGAAGGCTTGTGCATGATGGGTGCCGGAGGCAGCGCGGCGCACCAGCGGGCCGACGGGCCGCCGCCGCCCGGCACGGACCCCGTCTTCGACAAGATGGTCGAGGACGAGCTCGCGCGGCGCAAGGACCAGGGCGGTGCGGCCAAGCCCGGCGCGAGCGCGCCGCCGGTGCCGGGCGAGGACCCGGTCTTCGACGCCATGGTCAAGCAGGAGATGGAGCGCCAGAAGTACGAGGTCGACGCCTTCGCGGGCGCGCTCGGCGCGCGCGACGGCCGCGGGCCCGCGCGCGCCGAGCCGAGCCTGTCGCCGCGCGCCGCGCGGCCCCGCGAGGGCGGCGCGGGCGCCATGGCGCGCCTCGAGCGCGACATGCGCGCCGAGCGCGACGCCTACGGGGGCCAAGGCTACGGCCGCGCGCCCGAGCCCGCGCGCGCCGCGCCCTCCTACGGCGCCGCGGCCGCCCCCTACGGCGTCGACGGCGGCCAGCCCTCGGGCGACCCGCGGCGCGACAAGCAGCGCCAGTACGCCGCGGCCGACGACGACTGGCAGCGCGCGCGCCGCGCGCCGCCGCCGCGGGAGCCCCAAAGCGGCTACGGCGCCCCCTACGCGGCGCGCGCGCCGCCCGGGCCCGCGCCGGCGGCGGCGCCGGCCCACGGCCCGCCGCCCTGGGCCCACGGCGACGTCGGCCGCGACCCCTACGAGCCCGCGCCCCTCGGCCGCGGCATGGCGACGATCCAGGGCGCGAACCCGCCTAGACAGCTCGGCGGCCGCAAGGACGCGCAGGCCGCCTACGCGGCCGAGCTCGAGGCCCAGATGCGCGAGAAGGCGGACCGGGACCGCTTCCACCGCAACCGCGACATGGCCGCGAGCCGCGAGCGGCTCCGGGGCTACCCGCCGAGCCCGACGCGCGACGACGGCGGAGCCTACGGCGGCGGAGCCCACGGCGGCGCGCCGCAGCAGCCGGGAGCCTACGGCGGCGGCGCGCCGCAGGGAGCCTACGGCGGCGGCGCGCCGCAGGGAGCCTACGGCGGCGCGGCGCCGCAGGGAGCCTACGGCGGCGAGCCGCCGCCGCGCGAGGACGCCGCGGCGCGGCACCGCCGGTTCCTCGAGGAGGACGAGCGCACGCGCGCCGCGGAGCGCGCGCGCCGCTTCGCGCCGCAGCGCCTCCGCCAGCAGCAGCAGCAGCAGGAGCAGGAGCCCGCCGCCTACGGCCAGGGCGTCGTCGACGGCCCCTTCGGCCCGCGGCGCCACGGCGGCGGCGGCGACGGCCCGCCGCCGGCCGCGCGCCGCGAGGCCGCGCCGGAGCCGCCGGCGCGCGACGGCGGCGCCTACGGCGCCTATCCCGGCGGCCGCGACGACGAGCCCGCGGCCGACGACCGGGGCCGCCGCGGGTCGAACGCGCGCGAGCGCTTCGTCCGCGACGTCTACGGCGAGTCCAAGGTCGCGAGCGCCTTCGGCGGCGGCGGCGGCGGCGCGGAGCCCGTGGGCGGCGGCATCACGCGCCGCGTGGACCCGGCCGTCGAGGCGAAGCGGAGGAGCCAGGCCCTCGCGCAGCGCGAGGCGCTCGAGGCGCAGATCGCGGCGCGCCGCGAGGCCAAGGAGGCCGAGGCCGCGGAGCGGCGGCGCCAGGAGGCGGCGGACCTCGAGGAGGAGCGGCGGCGCGACGCCGAGGAGAAGGCGAAGAAGGACGAGGAGGACCGCGTCAAGAGGGAGAACGAGCAGAGGCGGCTCGACGACCTCTACGCGGCCCAGGAGGCCGCGGCGAAGAAGCGCCGGAACCAGGACCGCCGCGACGACGACGACGACGACGACGGCCCGCGCGGGCCACCGCGGCGCGGCGGCGGCGCCGCGCGCCGCGCGGACCCCTTCGACGACGCGCCGCTCCCGGCGCAGCAGCAGCCCGGCGGCGCCGCGGCGCCGCGGCGCCCGGCGGCGGCGGCGCGGCAGCCGTCGCCGCCGCAGCAGCGCCAGGCCGCGGCCTTCGCCGCGGACGACTGGCAGCGCGCGGCGCAGCGGCCCCGCGAGCCCGAGGACCGGAGCGGCCGCCGCGGCGCCAAGGCGACGAACCGCTACGACGACGAGCGGGTCCGCGACTCGGAGCTCGACAAGGCCGCCGACGACTTCGAGCGGCGCGTCGCCGCGGAGCTCGAGCGCTTCCAGCTGGACCGCGAGCGCCGCGAGGGCCGCAAGGAGGTCGCGCGGCGCGCGGAGCCGTCCGGCGCGTCGCTCGAGGCGCTCGCCGACAGGTTCGCGCCCGACGCGACCAAGCCCTCGATCTACGACCTCGCCGGCGTCGAGCCGCCGGCGCCGGTCAAGGACCGCGACGTGCGCCCGCCGCCCGAGGACTGGGCGGAGAAGTCGCTCGCGGGCAACTCGTCCTTCGTGCCGCTGCCGGCCGACTACAAGGCGAGCGCGGAGTTCGACGGCCTCAACCCGGCGGCCCGCGAGCCGGAGATGAACCAGGTCGACGAGTACCTGAGCCCCGACGCCATCGCGGACCGCTGGCAGCGCGACCACCCCGTCGTCGCCGACCCCGGCGGCGCGCCGCTGCCGAACCCCATCCGGGCCTCGAGCGACCCGGCCAAGGCCGCGGCGTCGACGGCCAAGTTCACGGGCGCCGCCGAGCAGTCCCTCGTCGGGGAGAGCGTCTTCCACCACTTCCACGACAACGACGGCCTCGCCGCGCTCTCCGGGCCCAACTCGCTCTCGCCGCCGCGCCGCGCGGCCGCGTCCGACGAGCCGCGCCGCGCCGCCGCCGACGAGGCCTCCGACCGGCAGGCGCGCAAGGAGAACATCCTCCGGCCGAAAACGGGCTCGAGGCCCGGCACGAAGGACCGCGCGCGCTGGAGCGACGAGTCGCCCTTCCTGCCCGGCGGGCCGCCGCCGCCGGGGACCGACCCCGTCTTCGACCGCATGGTCGAGGCCGAGCTCGCGAACCGCGTGAACACGCCGCGCGCGGACGGGGACCCGCCCGCCGACTTCTTTAAGTAGCACGCGCTTACTTGCACTTCTTCGCGCACGACGCCTTGCAGGCTTTCTTCGCGGTGAGCATCTTCTTGCCGGCCTTGCCCGTGGCCTTCTTTTTGCACTCCCGCTTCTGCTTCTTGGCCGTCATTTTCGCGAGCTTCTTGCACGTGAGCTTCTTCTTGCCTTTGCGCTTGAGCTTCCACTTTTTGTTGTCTTTGCAGCTCTTGTCCGTCTTCGCCTTTGTCGTCGTCGTCGCGGCGGTCGGCGCGTCGTCGACCGTAAGCGACACGTGGTCGAACGCGACCCTCCCCGCGTCCTCGGACGACAGCGTGATGGTCAGCGGCTGCCCCACGAGCTCCGGCGCGTCGTCAGCTTTGAAGGTCACCGTGACTCGTTTCCATATCGTCGGCCAGCCGTCGACCCACTCGACGCGACGGATGCCGAAATAATCGAGACCCGTCCAACGTTTGCCGTCCTTCGACGCCCGGAAATCGTAGCCCATAAACTCGCGGCCGTCATCCTCCTTCCAGAAGTGCGGGTGTCCCGGCACGCCCTGGAGCCCCTCGCCGCCCAGGAGCATGCTGCACCCGTAGCGGTCCTTGGCGGCGTCGAACTTCGTGCAGGCGAGGCCGTCCTTGTCGACGAAGACGCCCTCGTTCGGCGCCGACGCCGGATTCCGGCACATCCTGATGGTGTAATCCTTGTCGAGGTCGCCATAGGAACCTGCGTGGGCGCGTCTACTCATAGGTTCGTAGGCTCCGGACGAGGCTACGTAGGCGCGTAGGCGCCTACGTAGGCACCTACGGAGCGACACCGGTAGGAACCGAAGGCGTACCAGAAGCCGTCGCGCTTGTACAGCGCCGGCCCTTCGACGTAGCTCGCCTTGGACAGCGCGTCGCCGTCCCAGCCCTCCGGCGTCGCCGCGTCGCCGCCGGTGTCCGCGGAGTCCGCGAACGAGAGGATGGCCGCGGCGCAGGACGGCATGCAGTTGTCGAGCTCGAGCTCGACGTCGGCCGGATCGCCCGGCAAACGCCCCGTCGTCGGGTCCAGCTCCGTCGCGTAGATGGTCCAGCCGCCCCACGACATCCAGAGCCGGTCGTCGTCGCCGTCGTAGAAGAGGTGCGCGTCGAGGGGCGACGGGAAGAACGACGTGAACGCGTTCCGCTTTAGCATCGACGAGTGCTCGAGCACCGGCTTGCCCTCGTCGAAGCCGTACTCCGGGGGCTCGCCGGTGAGCGCGACGGGGATTATCGCCGTCTTGCACGCGCATCCCGCCGGTAGGTCCCGCGTCGCGCAAGTGCCCTCGGCCTCGCAGGCGTCGCACGCGTCGACGCAGTCGTCGCAGGCTTGCGTGTCGGGTCGGGCGCAGGAGCCGCCCGTTCCGTAGAGCGCCCGCAGGCCCTGCGGCGTGTGGATGGGCCCCGGGGCGTAGTTCGCGATGGGCGGGAGCTCCTCGTCGGCGACCTCCCACGCGTCCGAGATCGGGTCTCGATTCTTCTTCTGAAACATCACGTGCTCCGACGCCTGGAGTCTGTACTCGCCGTCGAAGAAGACGTTGCCGCCGTCGTCGTTGCCGAGCATCGGCGACGGCGCGACGGGGTCCAAAGAGAGGGAGACCTCCGCCGAGCCGAGCGTCGCGCGAATCGCGGTCGTCGCCGACGACCCGGCGGGGACCACGCTCCGCGCGAATACGGTGAGCTCGTAGGTGGCTCCCGCCTCGATCGTCGAGACCGTCTGCGAGATCCGCGAAGCGTCGCAGTCGTCGCCGGCGTAGGCCTTGCCCGCGTCCCAGCAGGTCCGGCGGCAGGCCGCCGCGGCGACCCAGACGGCGTCGTCGCCGCACCTGCCGTCGAGACCTTTGGACGTCTCGTACGACTCGCAGGTGTACTCGTTGCGCGCCATCCACATCGTGACCGCGTCGTCGCATCCGAGGAGCGTGGCGAACCGCGTCCCGTGAGGAGGCGCCCAGGCCTCGCCATCGTCCGTGGTCAGCGACGACCAGCCGCCGCTCTCTTCGAAGGAAGGGTTCATCACCGAGATAGTCGAGGGCGCCGCCGCGGCCACGGCTGGGGGGCGCGTCGCGTACATGGAGTCGCGCGCGGCCTCGGCCATCTTGTAGTGGCCCGCCGCATTCGGGTGTACCTACGACATCGTCGGTCGTTGCTTGTGTGAAAACGTCGGACCCGGGGTGTGTACCGCGTCTTTGTAGTCCTCGCCGATCGGGTCGTCGCCTCCGAGCGCCTCGAAGAAGTCGACGACCCCGACGTAAAAGTCGACGCGCGCGGAGAGGTCCGCGACGACGTCCCTCGCGAGGCGCTGGAGCGTGTCGTGGACGATTTCGCGCGAGTACGCGTACATGTCCTCGTAATTTCCGACGCCGTAGATCGGCGGAGGCGTGCCGACGTAGATCGCCGTCACCCCGGGCACCGTCGCGACGATGTCGTCGAGCATGGCGACGTATTCCGCCACCCACGTCGCCTCGTCGTGCCAGTAGGTGTACTCGTCGTTCGCCTTCGCGTCGTTCGTCCCGAGAGTTATTATCAAAACGTCGAAGCCTTCCGCGAGCATCTCGTCGTACTCGTCCGTGTCGCGGTAGTCGCGGCTCTTGTGGTCGACGACCGTGCGGCCGCCGACGCCCCAGTTTTTTACCTCGAAGCCGTCGCCGAGGAAGTCCTGAAGAACGACGGGGTAGGGATATCCCTTGGCCGCGTCGCCCTCCGTCGTCGAGTCGCCGGCGCAGGCGATCGTCAGTGTCGATTCCACACATAGGGCCAGGGGCCCCCATAGGAATTAAGTAACTAACTATCTTGGCTGGCCGGAGTACGGCTAGGGAGCTATCCTGGGCCGCCAGTACGCCTAGGGAAGGCCGTGGTCGTCGAACCTCGGCAAAATTGGTCGCCTATATCAAATCATGTCAACATAAGCTCGTTATATGTCGAAAAAGGCGATTTGGAGGTGTTTGGGGGGCAAAGAGATCGGGGAAACGTGGTAATTGAACTTCAACATTGCACTTCAAGTGCAAACTTTTTGATTCAACGGATCTCGGGTTATCTCACGAAAATATTTGGAATCGACACTGGCGATCGTGATCGTCGCGGACGCGGCGCGGAGCAGCGCGAGGGCCAGGAGGCGCCGTACGCTCCGCGGCGCCATCGATTCGACGCGTCGAGAGGCGCCGTGAACTCACGGCCAAGTCGGAGGCGCGAATGGATTCCGTCCACTGATTTCCACGGCAACAACCGAGGCATGATGCACTTCAACAAAAATAGCCGCACCAAAACGCCAACCCAGGGACTTACGCCTCTTCGTGGAACTCGGGCGGGCTCCAGAGCGAGCCCATGCCGTCGTCGTCGGCCATGGCCTTCATCCAGCCCTGGAGGTGCTGCGCGACGGCCGCGATGACGCGGTGCTTGTCCGCGGGCGTCGTGCGGTAGGTGTCGAGGCGGCAGCAGCAGTGGCTCGGCAGCAACACGTGGGTCGTGATGTGGCCGACGTTGTCGCACCAGACGCCGATCTTCTCGACGAGCTGGAGGAACGCGAAGACCGGGAGGCGGCCGAGCGACGCGCCGCGGCCCCAGTCGTGGGGGATGCCCGCGGACTCGATGTCGGCGATGAAGGCGTCCTTGTGGGCGGGCATGGCGCGCTGGAGGATCTGCTCCATGGACGCGACGCGGCGCTGCGTCTCCGACTCGTCGCGGCGGCTCGACGCGAGGCGCGAGAAGTAGGCCGCGGCGCCGTCGCACGACAGGCACGACACGGCGCCGTCGATGACGAGGTTGTCCGTGGAGACGTGGGCGTACTGGAGCTTGGGGATCTGGCGCACGCGGAGCTCGCCGGCGAAGAGGCGGATCGCGGCGGTCTGGATGGGCGCGTCGCCCCAGCGGTGCACGTAGATGGCGTGCGTGAGGTCGATCTCGTGGAGGAACCGCTTCACGTAGGGGTCGCGCCAGAACCCCACCGTCGTCGCGAAGACGTTGTTGAAGTACATGCGTTCGATGACGTCGTGGGCGAGGTCCGCGCAGGCCGCGTCGGGCACGCTCGCGTCCCGCTCGAGCCAGAGGCAGTAGGTCCGGACCCAGGGCTTGAACGTGAGCTCCGTCTGGAAGTGGGACTCGCGCGTCGAGCTGCCCCAGGCGTAGTCCGCGCCCGCCTCCCAGAGCATGCGGAAGGGGTCGTAGTCGACGGCGCGCAGCATGAAGATGTCGTCGTCGACGCGCATGACCATGTCGAGGCCCATCGCGTGCGCGTGGTCCCACATCTGCATCGCGTAGAAGCGGCACATGTGCTTGTAGCCCTCGCTCCGGTCCGTCGCGTTCCACTCGGACGCCGGCGGCCGGTCGAGGTCGTTGCCCCAGACGTCGCTCACGTCGCGGAAGACGACCCAGGGCGCGCCCGCGCGGATCGCGCCCTTGTGCGCCTCGGGGAAGTTGCCCTCGTGGAAGACGACGTGCGGGTACTCGCGCTCGAGCGCGAAGGCGAGGCGGAGCCGGCCGCTGCTCTCGAGGAAGGCCGCGTAGCGCGTCTCGTCGTGGCCCTTCTGCAGGAGCGTGATGAACGCGCAGCGCACGCTCGAGTTCCACGGCCGCGCCGCGCCCGCCTGCCGCGTCGGCAGCTTCGGCCGCCCGGGGCAGGCCGTGCACGGCCGCGCGTCGGGCACGGGCGCCGTCGCCCGCAGGTTCCGCACCGCCGGCGGGTTCCGGCCCAGCGACCCGGACAGGCCGCGGATCATCTGCTCGCAGGGCTCGCGCCCGCGCAGGTAGACGTAGATGCCGATCGAGTTCACGGCCACGAAGATCATGACGAGCCGCTCGAGCTTGCGCGTCACCATGACCCGCCCGAAGGGATGCCCGTTGTCGCTGCCCATCCTCGCCGGATCCTAGCGGTCGCGGGGGCAGCCTGCGGCCATCGACACGATCGTTGGGCGTTTATGCGCGCGATCGTGCCCTGCAATGTGGCAAAGTGCCGCGGCGCTTATGGTCGTCGCACGTGGGAATGCCCGGGGGCAGCCTCGTCGTCGTCCGTAGCTAGCCTCATGACGACCGCCGCGCTGCTCGTATTGCTCTTCGCGCCGGTCGACGTCGCGGCGCGGCGCCGGCTCGGCGCGTTTTCGCAGCGCGAGAGAGAGCGGGCCGCGCTGAAGGCGCCCGTCTCGTACCGCGTCGGCTGCGGCTGCGACGAACGCGCCTGCGCGAACGCGAGCTTCTACAGGGTCTGTCCGGACCACCTGCGGGACCCCGGCTCCGAGACGGGGCCGAACTGCTTCACGCCCGTGCCCCAGAAATGCGACTGCGAGAAGCCTCCGGAGGAGCGCGCGCGGCAGTGCGCGTGGACCGCCTGGCTCCGGCGCTGCTCGAGCGGCGGCGGCTCCGGCGGCGCGGCCGGACCGCCGAGCGCCGCCGGCTTCGGCGCGCCCTGCGGCGACCTCGACGCGTACGCGAGGGCCGTCTACGGCACGGCCGCCGCGGACCTGTCGCTCGCGTCCTTCTTCTGGACGGGGGTCCCGTTCTTCGAGAAGATGGACGTCGAGCACATGCAGGGCGAGATCTCCGTGCTGCGGACGTGCGTCGCGTGCGCGGGCCACCTGCGCCCGGGCGCGCTGTGGATCCCCGTCGACGACGTCACGCAGAAGCCGCGCGCGCCCTGGATCAGCACGCTCTACGGCCCGCCCATGGCGCGCCACGACGTGCCCGCCGCGCCGCCGACGTCGCCGCCCGGCGAGCACGCGTTCTTCCCGGGCTTCTTCGCCGCGGCGGACCTGAGCGCGCGCCTCGCGGACCACAGCTGGGTCGAGGTCATGCGCATCGCGCGCGTCGACGACAAGCGCGAGGAGGGCGACCGCTGCCTCGCGAACCAGGTCTGGTACTGGCACGCGCCGGGCTCGGGCATCTGGCTCGACGTCGGCGAATCGCTCGTCCTCACGCCGGACTACGTCGGCCCGAGGCGCAAGTTCACGAGCTGCCGCGCGGCGCGCGCCGACGGCTTCGACACGATCCAGATCCCCGCGTTCCGCAACCTCTCGCACGCGTTCGAGCTCGTCGACTGCCGCGACTACGGCGGCGCCGGGCCCGACGCGCCCCTCGAGATGTGGGAGGCCGCCTGCCCGCCGGCGGCCGCGCGGCTCCGGCGGGGCACGCCGGCGCCGCGCGACGGCGCGCCCGCGCTCGCCAAGGCGCCGACGGCGGCCCGGCCCTGCCGCTGCGACCCCCGCTTCTCCTTCCTCAACTGCTACGGCGGCGATGCGTAATATTTGCATGATCTTAGAACACGACCGACGCCGCCCTACCAGACGCCCCCGACCTTGGCCACCGTGGCCTCGTCCGCGACGCCGCACGTGTTCGCGTCCATCTGGAGGCGGATGTAGCCGTCCTCGCCCCAGGACGTCGACCAGGAGTTGCGCACGATCCAGTAGGGCTCCTCGCCCGTCGCGTCGTAGCCGACGAGCTGGACGCAGTGGTCGATGTCCGCGTAGGCGCCGGAGCACGCGTCGTACCGCAAAACGCCGCCGGTATAATCGTCCCAGGCGCCCGCGTTGACGCAGACGGCCGCGGGCGTCGCCTGGATCGTCTTCGCGAGCTCGCCGAGGTCCTGGTCGGCGCAGAGGCCCTCGCCGCAGGGGTCGGTGGCGAAGGCGTAGCCCTCGACCTGTGTGGAAATCAACCAGTGAGCTGGGACGTCCCGACCAAACTTTGAAATTCTCTAGCTCGGTCAAATCGAAGTCGATTCGGCTGATTTTTGGACGGATCGATTGCTCTCGTCGAGTTCTCGAAGCACAGCGGAAGTGCTTGTGTCAAAACATTCGAATACGCGCACATTGAAGTCGGGTTGAAGATTTGATTTGCACACAGGCCTCGACGGTCGCGTAGGGGCCGATGTAGTCGTACTCCGTCACGAGCTCGCTCAAATCCATGTCGCAGGCGTTGGTGCAGAAGGGGCCGAGGCACTCCTCGTCGGGCGTGAGGGCCTGCGTGTAGGGCCAGTAGGCCGCGGGCGACAGGCCGATCGCGCCCTTGATGTAGTCGTACGCGACGGTGACGTCGCCGCCGCCGCAGCCGAAGCAGCAGCCCTCCTCGGGGTCGTCGATGTACTTGGCGCAGGACGTCACCTGCTGGGCGCTGAGCACCACGGGCGGGCCGCCCGCGAGGTAGAACTGGGACTCGACCTGCTCCGTCGTCGAGAACGCCCAGCACGAGCCGCACTGGCCCTGGTTCTTCACGGGCGTGAGCACGTCGTCGACCTTGCGCCAGTCGACCTGGCCGTCCTCCCAGTCCACGTTCTTCGCCTTGGACCGCCACTCGTCGACGTCGAACTTCTCGTACGAGTCCTTGTACGTCTCGAACATCCCTCGGTCCTTGCGGCCGCGCGCGAACGCGGACGTGCCCGGCGCGCGGTCCGCGTGCGCCGTGACGCCGAAGACGGGCTTGCCGTTGAGCGCGTTCTTCTCCGCGAGCTCGGCGACGCGCGCGTGGTAGTAGGACCGCTTGAGCGCCTCGTCCTCGGGGCTCGCGTAGCTTTTTCGGAACCGCGCCTTGAACTCGATCCACTCCGCGTCCTCCGCGGCCGTGTACTCGACGTCCGGCACGACCGCGAGCGGCACGACCTCCGTCGTCGCTGCCGCGGCGGCGTCGTCCGTCGCGGCGTCTTTGAAATCGATGTGGCCGCCGTTCGTTGCTACGCCAAGGATGATCACCGCAGCAGCGCCGACCGCGATCATGGCCGTAGCGCCGCGCCAGCGCGCGCAGGGCCTGATCTGCTCCTTGGTAAGAGGAGAGAGCTCGTCGTCGAGCGTCTTCGAGCCATACTCGTCCATGATCGACGAGGTCGAGTCGAGGCAGCCCGGGCGCGCAGGACTCATCTAGAAGATGAGAAGTGTCTTCACGGTGCTGTGGGTACACAACATCAACCAAGCTTCGTTGCACAGGGTACCGGGGTCTTCCTCTCCTTGCAGCCGGGCGCCCTTCAATAACCCGCGGGTCCCCGAGCCCACGCGCCAGCTGATGCGAGCGGCTGCACCTTCCAACATGGGTTTTGAGCTTAGTCCCCTACGCGGCGCCGGGCCGGGGGAGCATCTCCGGGTCGCAGAGCTCGGCGTCGAAGACGACGGCGCCGGGGCCGTCGTCGCCGGGCATCGGGCCGGTCCGGAACAGGAACTCCTCGAGCTTCGGGGGCTCGAAGGTCCGGACGTCGAGGTCGCGCAGGGCCTTCTCCTCGAGCTGTTCCAGGAGGTCGTCGTCCTTGTAGCGCATCTCCATGAGCTCGAGGTCGCTCGGCGGCGGGCGGTCGTCGCTGTCGAACTTTGGGATCTCAAAGTCCTTGACGAGGTTCGGCTCGTCGATGGCGTCGAGCGTCGCGATGAGCTCGTCGTTGTCGTGGAGCCGCCCGGCGGCGTGCTCGATGGGCTCGTAGTCGTCGCGCCAGCCGCCGTAGGCGCAGCTCGAGCCCGCGCGCATCTCCGCCGTGACGTCCTCGGGACCCAGAATCACCCGCGGGACCTTCGGCGCGGGCTCGGCTTTCGGGATCTCCGCGGGCTTCGGCGGCGCGGGCGCGGCTTTCGGCGCCTCCGCGGGCGCGGGCGCGGCTTTCGGGACCTCCGCGGGCGCGGCTTTCGGGACCTCCGCGCGCTGGGACAGCGCCTTGATGGCGCTCTTGGCGTCCGACAGCGGCGCCCGGAGCTGCGACTTGGCCGGCGTCGCGAACGTGAGCGTCCGCCCGGGCGTCGCCGAGGGCTTGAGGGCGCTCTTCGCGCCGTCGCGCGCCTTGTCGCCGACGGCCGTGTTGCCGTTCTTTATGTCCCCAAAGGCCACGCGCTTCGTCGTCGTCGGCGCCCCGAGGGCCTTGCGCGCCACCGGCGTGAAGAGGCTCTTCTTGAGCGCGCCCGACTTCTTCGTCGTCGTCGGGGCCGCCGCCGGCGCGTCCTCGAAGAATTTGATCGCCGTCGCGCGCTGGGGGAGCGCCATCGTCTCTGGGGTCGATCGCAGCCCTGCGCGGGTGAGAGAGGGTCGGGTGCGGCTCGGGCGCGCGCGCGGCGCGAGTCAACGGCGTCGCGCCGTGTTCTGGCGGCGCGCGCGACCGTTCCGCCGTGTTCCGCCCAGAAAATATCGGCGTTTCGTGGTCTCCCGCGTGCAGTGCGCGCGCGGACGAGGTGTATGGTGTCAAGAAGGCCAGACACGGGCGCGCGCGCGCGTCAAACGCAGAGAGCTCGGCGCGCGCCAACAGCTGAGCAAAGTCAACTCGCGCGGGCCCCGATATTGCGGCCAAAGTTTACCGCCGCTGCCCATCCACACAAGCATGGCGGCCCAGTCGGAGATCGAGCACAGCACGCTGGAAATCGCGCTCCGGCGCGTGGACCGCATCTACCGGCCCGGCGACGTCGTCGACGGGAAGCTCATCGTGAGCGCGCGCAAGGGCTGGGCCCACAAGGGCATCTCCATGAAGGTCACGGGCAGCGCGCAGCTGCAGCTGTCGCACCGGTCCATGGGGCTCTTCGAGAGCGTGAGCAGCGTGCGGCCGCGGGAGCTGTTGCGGACGCAGATCGAGCTGACGCCGCCCGGGCGCTTCCCCGACGGCGTCACGGAGATCCCCTTCGAGTTCGAGCTGCAGGCGCTCGCCGGCGAGGCGCTGCACGAGAGCTACCACGGCGTCTACATCAACGTCTGCTACACCATGGCCTGCGAGTGCAAGCGGGGCGTCATGTCCAAGCCCCTCGAGCGCGACATCGAGTTCATCGTCGAGGTGCCGTCGAAGGAGAGCCCGCCAGCGGACCCGCGCGCGTTCTCGATCACGCCGGAGTCGCTGGAGAACGTCCGCGCGTCGTCCGTCGCCGCCATCCCGCGCTTCAAGGTCTCGGGCAAGCTCCACCGCCAGTCCTGCCCCATCAACCTGCCGTTCACGGGCGAGTTCGTCGTCGAGGAGTCCCAGGCGAGCGTCAAGTCCATCGAGCTCCAGCTCGTCCGATCCGAGACGGTCCGCCACCCGGAGAGCGGCAACACCGCGCGGGAGGCGACGGAGATCCAGAACATCCAGATCGCCGAGGGCGACGTCTGCCGCAACCTCGTCATCCCCATCTACATGATCTTCCCGCGCCTCTTCACGTGCCCGACGATGATCACCGACGACTTCAAGGTCGAGTTCGAGGTCAACCTCATCGTCATCTTCGGCGACGGCTACATGATCACGGAGAACTTCCCCATCAAGCTCCACCGCTACCGCTGAATGGGCGCGTTCCTACAGTAAGGGAAGATTACCGCTTCTCGAAGGCGAAGAGGCCGAAGAAGAGGCACGTGAGCAGGTCCGCGCCGGCGCCGAACGCGACGAGCGCGAGGTGGTCCGCGAGCGCGTCGTCGGCGTCGAAGCCGAAGCAGTGGAGGATGGCCTCGCCGGGATAGGGACCCGTGCGAATTTTCGACGAGCCGACCTTGGACGAGATGTAGAGATCCTCGACGAGCGCGAACTCGTGCGCGACCAAAGCCTCGTACGCGTAGGACATGGGCAGGCACGACGCCAGGGCCCGCCAGACGGGCGCCAGGTCCGCCGGGTTGATGAAGAAACCGCTCAGCAATAAATTGAAGAGGAGCAGCAGGCTCGTCGCCGCGCTCGCGATCGCGTTCGAGCTCGCGACCGCGCCGACGGCGCGGCCCGTCGCCGCGAGCACGTAGTGGATCTGGAAGGCGGCGAGCACGAAGCCCAGGGCGTGGTTGTAGGTCTTCGCCGCGTGGCTCAGGCCCACGACCAAGCCCGCGAGCGCCAGCGGCGGCGCGACGCGGAGCGGCAGCGCGTCGCCGACGTACGCGGCGGCCGCGAACGCCTGCGCGAAGCCGTAGGAGTCGCGCTCCCGCGCCAGGAGCCGCGCCGCGCGCCGGCTCCTCGGCGGCGCCGACAGCGCCGACAGCCCCAGCGACGTGCAGAGCACGAACGCGAGGCCCAGCCGGTCCTGGATGCCCGCGGCCTGCCCGTTCCGCGACGGCAGGTCCTCGTAGACCAGCCCGAGGATGGCTCCCACGACGAGCGCGGGGACGTACTGCAGCACCAATAGAGGCCCGTCCCGCAGGCACTGGCGCCGCTCGCGCGTCGCCAGGAGGCAGAGCGCCTGGAAGCCGCCGACGGGCGCGGGCCGCGCGCGGCGCCGGCCGCGCCTTTGGGGCGACGGCGCATCCGCCGCGTCCGACGCCGCCACCGCCAGCCCGCCGGGCGCCTGGGCGAGGTCGAGCATGGCGTCGGCCGGGTTCGAGGCCATGGGCCCGTCCGCGGCGCGCGCGTCGAGCGCCGCGCGGACGTCGGCCGGCGTCCCGCAGACGCGGAGCCGCCCGCGGACGAGGAGCGCGACGCGGTCCAGCGCGACGAAGATCTCGCGCCGCGGCTGGTGGAGCACGGCGACCACGGTCACGCCGAGGCGGCTCACGTCCTGGAGGCGCCGGCAGACCACGAGCGCCGTCGCCGCGTCCAGGCCCGTCGTCGGCTCGTCGCAGAACAGCAGCTGCCGCTTCGCGAGCAGGGTCGTCGCGAGGGTGACCCGCCGCCGCTGGCCGCCGCTGGCCTTGCCCAGCCGCGTCTCCTCGTAGCAGCGCGCGTCCAGCGCCAGCGCGTCGGCCTCGGCGCGCGCGACGCGCCGCTTCCGCGCGGCCGGCCACGCGCCCGGGAGCCGCAGCTTCGCGTGGAACGTCAGGTGCTCGCGGCACGTGAGGTGCGGGGGCAGCACGTCGTCCTGGGGCGCGAAGGCGCTGCTGAGGCGCCGCTGGCGCGCCGTCGCGGCGTCGAGCGTCCCGCCGTCGACGGCGCCCGGGCCCAGAAAGTGGCGCCGGCTCAGGTCCACGGCGCCCCGCGCGCGGCCCGACGTCCGCCGCCCGGCCAAAACATCCAGCAGCGACGACTTGCCCGCGCCCGACGGCCCGAGCAGCGCCGTGACGCCGCCCGGCGCCGCGGACAGCGACACGCGGTCGAGCACGGGCGCGGCGACGCCCGCGAGCGCGAGCGACACGTCGCGGCACGCGAGCCGCGGCGGCGGCGCCTCGCCGAAGAGCGCGTCGTCGTCGTCCTCCGGCGGCGGCAGCGGCGCCTCGGGCGGGGGCACGCAGGCCGCGGCGACGGCGAGGCACGCGGCGCCCGCCGCGGAGACGCACGCGAGCGCGAGGAGCGCGCGCGACTTCGGCGCGACGGCCAGCAGCGCGGGCAGCGCCGCGGGGCCGACGTTGAGCAGGGCCCCGACGACGCCCGTCGCCACGGGGAGCGCCTCGGGCGGCGACACGACCGTGATCGTCGCCCAGAAGAGCGTGTTGAAGACGGACCAGCCCGCGCTGAGGACCAAGGTGCCGTACGCGAGGCCGCTCGACCCGTCGCCGTAGTACGCGCCAAAGGCCAGGGGGAAGCTGAGCGCGCTCACGGCCGCGGCGACGAGGCGCGCCGTGAGCGCCGACCGCTTTTTGTCCACCAGGAAGCCCACCGCGGGCCCCAGGACCACGATGGCCGCCTCGGGGCAGAGGATGAGCCCGTCGGCCGCCGCGACGCTCAGGCCGAAGCGGCCCGCGAGGATCTTCGACCCGAGCGCGAGCCAGGTCACGGCGCCCGCGTAGACCAGCGCGCCGCCGAGGGCGTACCACCAGAACGTCGCCGGCAGCGCCGCCAGCGCCGCCTGGACCGGGAGGCGCGGCGGCGGCGGCGGCGCCGGCGACCCGTTGAGCGACGCGTACGGCGCCCGGTCCCCTTCGACGCGGCGGACGACGCGCTGCGCGACCAGCGCGAACCCGAAACTCGCCGCGCCGACGGCGCCCGCGGCGTAGAGGGGCGCGTCGAGCCCGAAGGCCGCGAGGAGCGCCGGCGACAGGCCGAACGTCGCGACGGAGCCGACCCTCAACAGCGCGTTCGTGACCCCGACGACCTTGGCCCAGTCGTCGCGGAAGATGGGCCCCATGAACGGAATGCTCCCGAGGTCGATGGCCTCGTAGCAGGCGCCGAGCACGCAGCGCGCCCCGAGCAGCAGGGGGAAGCTCCGCGCGCCGACGCCCGCGGCCCAGAGCGCGTGGCCCGCGCACGCGCAGCCCGTGAAAAACACGAGCGGCGCCGTCGCGTCCGCCGCCGCCTGGGCCATGGCGCCGGCCACCAAGGGCATGAACACGTTGGGCACGTAGTAGACGTTGTGGAGCAGGCCGAACTGGAGGCTCGACATGGGCCACCGCGCCTCGAGCGCCTCTTGGAGCGCGCTCGGCGTGTCGCGCGCGTAGTGGTTCGCGAAGACGACGCCCCCGACGAGCGCCGGCAGGGCCCAGGCGATGGCCGGCCGCTTCGTTCGTAGCGCCTCGCCGCCGGCGTCGTCGACGCGGCGGAGCGGCGGCGGCGGCGCGGGCTCGCCGTCGGACCGCGCGTCGTCGTCCGTCAGCAGCCGCTCGCTCGAGCCCCACGCGTGGCCGAGGTGGCGCGGCACGGGCCGCCCCCGCGGCGGGCTGTCGCTCAGCTGGAGCTCCGGGTCGTCGACGGCGGGGATCTCGACGCTCCGGGGGCCGCAGACGGACCGCGCGCGCCGCGCGGCGCCCGACACTCGTTCCCGGAGCGTCCGGTGCCACGACCGGCCGCGCTCGTCGTCGCCGTCGGAGAAGTCCGGCGACGACTTGAGGGAGTGGGCCGCGGCCGCCACGCCGAGGCAGCAGGCCGCGACGAGCGCGAGGCGCGCGAGCGCGGCGTCCGCGGCCGCCGGCCGCGTCGGCAGGCTCAGCGTCGACAGGATCGCGTTCACGTCCACGGTGATGGACGGGAACGTCGGGTCGCACTTGTGGCCGTCGATGACGTAGCGCTCGAGGTGGCCCACCGTGTCCTTGGCGCCGGCGAACTCGCCGACGACGGCCGCGCGGAACGCGTAGAAGAGCGCGTCCGCGGCGGCCGCCGCGCGGACCAGCGACTGGCTCAGCGCCGCGACGACGCCGCCGCCGCCGGTCTCGATGGCCGCGCCGTGGTGCGCCGTCGTGTCGCTGTCGACGCCGACGGCGACGCCGCCGAAGAGCGCCGCGAAGAGCGCGCCTAAAGACCCGAGCGCGCTCGCGACGTCCGGCGGCGGCCGGAGCGCGCCGAGCGCGAGCGCGAGGGAGCCCGCGGCGGCGCTCGCGAGGCCCAGGGCGCTCGCGAAGCGTAGGGCGCAGAACCCCGCGCAGCGCGGCCGCAGGTTGCAGTAGGGGTAGACGACGAGCGCGAGCAGCAGCGCGGGGAGCACGCGCAGCAGGACGAGGTCGGACCCGAGCACGGACACGAGGTGCGGCAGCGGCCCGTACAAACCGCCGACGGCGACGCGCTCCGCGTCGGCGACGGCCGCGTCCTCGCGGAACGTCGACAGGGCGCTCAGCGCCAGGAGCTGGAGGAAGAAGAGCGCGAAGAAGATCGCGCCGATGCGCCGCTGCGCGCCGCCGAGGTCCTTGGGCAGGTCGCTGTCGATGGACCCGAGGCACACCGCCGCCGCGAGGGCGCCGCCGGCGTGGAGGCACAGGAGGCTCGGCGCGCGGAAGACGCGCAGCAGCTGGCGGTCCAGGAGGATGGCGAGCTGGCGCCGCGGCGGCAGCCGCTCGAAGCGCGCGCGCCGCAATACCTCGCGCGGGTCCGGCGCCTCGCCGACGGCGCCGGCGGACCTCGACCGCCGCAGGCCGGGCGCGAGGGCCTTGGACAGGCGCTCCTCGTCGTCGTCGCTGGACCCGCGGCGCCGCCGCCGCGCGGGCGACGGCGCGGCCGCGGCGCCGCCGGCGCCGTCGGGCGTCCGCGGCCGCTCGGGCGCCTCGTCGCCGCCGCCGTCGTCGTCGAGGCCGGCGAGGGCGCCGGCGCCGCGCGCGGCGATGGCGTCGAGGAGCACGTCGCCCGGGTTCTCGCAGCCGCCCGGCTCGAGCGCCGCGGCGACGCGCCGCGCGCGCGCGACGGAGCCGCGCCACGCGACGGCGCCTTTGCAGACAACGCAGAGGCCGTCCAAACTCAAGAAGATCTCGGGCCGCGGCTGGTGCATCGTCGCGAGCACGGCGACGGGCGCCGCGTCCGCGCCGCCGCGCGCGACGCGCCGCAGCGACCGCGCGAGGCGCAGCGCCGCGCGCGAGTCGAGGCGGCTCGTCGGCTCGTCGAGGAGCAGCGCCGCGGGCGTGCCCAGGAGCTCGGCGGCCACGGAGACGCGCCGCGCCTCGCCGCCGGAGACGCCGCGCTCGCCGTCCGCGGCGTCGTCGTCCGCGTCGCCGCGCGCGCCGAGCCGCGTCGCCGCGCACGTCTCGAGCTCGAGGACGGCGAGGACCGCGGCGACGCGCGCGGCGAGCGCCGCGGCGTCGGCGCGGTCGCCGAGGCGCAGCTCCGCGTGGAAGAGGAGGTGCTCCGCGACCGTCAGCGTCTGCGGCAGCGCGCCGTCGTCCTGGGGCACGAACGCGAGCGTCGCGCGCCGCTCCGCCGCGCAGAGCGCCGCGCCGCCGAGGGACACGGACCCGGAGACGCGGCCCCTGGCGCGGCCGCCGACGCAGCGCAGCAGGCTCGACTTGCCCGCGCCGCTCGGGCCGAG